AGCACTCGACACACTTCATTACCGCGTCTGTTGGCGACGGAGCACGGAGACGAGGCTGTGAATGACAGAGCTGGCAGACGTGCTCCCGTTAGGCACGCAGAGGCGTAATAACTTGTGTCTGAGCTGGAGAGCTGATGGCATCTGGTTGTGCAGGTGAAAACATGCCCGGAGGTGATGAGCTGGTTTGGTATTCTCACGGGGGGAGTTTGTGTTTTGGCCCCCGTTTGAGCACGAACACCTGCTTCTTTCTCCTCATAAAAAAACATAGTTTAGTTGCTCGAGTATTAAACACATCACAGTCACGAGCTTTGCTGAAGTGTGGAAGTTTTCTCGAGATGTGTGGATAAAGTCTGACGGATCTCTGAGGCTTTCTTCCCGTTAATGCTGAGAAAAGATTTGAAGCCTCTTTTAAATTCAACACACACACACACACACACACACACACACACACACACACACACACACACACACACACACACACACACACACACACACACACACACACACAGTGACATCTGGTGGTGTGAAAAACGTACAGCAGCCTGAGGCCAAAACACTGCAAAGCCTCTCTCATTTTTAAATATTCAGTATGTATATGTGCAATAAGAAAACAAGAAGCCCAGAGTTCCCACACGTCCTGGAAAACCTGGAAGTTTAGTGACTAATTCACCAGTCATGGAAACACCTGGATAAATATCCTGGAAATAATCGATGTTGTCCTGGTTTGTATTTGAGCCGCTCACTGAGATCGAAGTGGAACCGACTTGCTATCTTTTCCAGAGCTTTCCATGGATGCAGCCTGTTAATGATCAGATTACCCGTCACTGTGGTTGAACAGTTACATCCACAGTGATGTTAATTATACTTTAACTCTCTAGAAGAGGAATTTTTCTGTAAAATAAAATAAATGCAACTCAATGTGAGCTGTTTCTGATGAGCTGTGGTCAAAGTAATGCTGTCAGTTTGTCAGAAACAGCAGCTTTAATGACCGTTAGTGAGCGAGGAAACTGAACCCTGGAAGCCTCAATTATTAAATCTACAACACTCTTGTTTAGAACTGCTGCAGTAAAATAATGAATAAGTAATAATAAGCAAATGTTTGTCCAATAAGCCTACATATAAGATAGTTGTATTAATATTAATGACAGTTTTAACTTCCTGGTTGAGTCACAATATAAACGCATATGATATTCACTGATATATAAACTGATATGACCTCTTGCTCGGCATCAGGCACAAATGTTGCCACTCTTTCTCCCGTTATCCCTCCAGTGTGCGTTTATCATCCGACTCACGGTTCAGCTGTGAAACTGTGCCGAAGCTCCGATAGCGCCTGAAGCTTCGGACGTCATCGGTTGACGTAGTTTTCTTCGTGTGTGTTTACTGGAACTTCACAGGAGTTCTGGAGCTTCGCCATCTACTGCAGAGTTTCCTCAAATACAATACGCAAAAAGTTATGATATAACTTCATCAGAGAGGTTACTTGTTATTTATTTAGAGTCATATTTCCTAACTAGGACAAGACACACACACACACACACACACACACACACGTTTTTTTAGGATGCTTCAAACACTCGTAGTATCTTTCTTTGACATCCGGTCTGGGTTATTTTCCCTGTTTATTGTTTTTAAACCTACATTTTTCTTCTGTTTCCTGTTTGATTTCCAGCCAGAGCGAATAGACCCCAGCGCGTCCCGGCAAGGCTACGATGTCCGCTCAGATGTTTGGAGTTTGGGAATCACACTGGTGAGTCCTCACTTCACCCTGAGGGTTAACCAGTAAGGTTAACTGGAATTTGATATCCTGGTAGTATTTTAACCCCTCGTTCAGATCGCCTACGTAAACCTGGGTGCAGGTTTTGTTTGAAACTCAGTTGTTAGTAGGTTGAGAGGTATAATATGAAACTTTAAGGCAAAACCTGTTTTAATATATAATTATATGACCGTTGGGAGCAAATGCAGTCCTGTATTGTCAAAGAAAAACCTGGAAAATATCCTGGAAAGGTCCTGGGAAATGATTTCTTAAAAAGTGTGTTTACATCTTTATTTCTGAAGTTACATCCCACCTGATTTGTAGAACATCATCATCATCCCGTTCTTCTGTGTGTATCATGTGTTTCAGTACGAGCTGGCCACCGGGCGGTTTCCCTACCCGAAGTGGAACAGTGTGTTCGACCAGTTGACCCAGGTGGTGAGGGGAGACCCGCCGCAGCTCAGCAACTCGGACGAGAGACGCTTCTCTCCCAAATTCATCTCCTTTGTCAACGTGTGGTAAGGAAACGCTGCTGCAATATGCCGCAGTCGTAGACATTCAGAGAGACTGTATGTTTCATGGAGCACTGCTGCTTGCTCTTCTGTCCCCCCCTGGTGGACAAATGCTCAAACTGCACCCTCCTCCTTTTAACACTGTATTTTTCATCCTTTCTCAAGCCTTACAAAGGATGAGTCAAGAAGGCCAAAGTACAAAGAGCTACTGGTGAGTTCATACTGAGTCATCATGAAGGCTTCTGCCCTCTCTCTCTCTGTTCACTCGTAAAGCACCAAATGAGCTGTAGTTTTATTTTGTAGGAGTTGTTATTGATGTACACATTGTCCTCCTCCTCCTCCCCCCCCTCCAGAAAGATCCGTTCATCCAGATGTACGAGGAGCGCTCGGTGGACGTAGCCGGTTACGTCTGCCGGCTCCTGGATCAGATGCCGGCGTCCCCCAGCTCACCTATGTATATGGACTGATAGCAGGACAGTAATACAACATATACACCAGTCTGCAACAATAAAGACATAAAAAAAGAAAAAAAGACAACAACGTAAACAGAAACAAATCCTCGTGTAAATTTGCTTGGTCCCCTTATTGCAGTGTTAAAAGAGAATTGTAAAGCCTAAAAAAAAAAATAAAATAAAAAAAAACACCGCTTGCAATAAAAGTGGTGTCTTTCAGTCATGCCTGTATAAATATATCAACGTTAAAAACACTTCTGTTTCTCTCTCGTGCACACACACAGACGCACAGTCGTGTAAGTATAATAGCAGCTGAATCAATCAATCATGGTCTTGACTCATCTCGATGAGGACGCATCTCAGTGGTTAGTACAGTGATTTAAGAAAAACAAAAACACAAAAAAAAACCAACCAGAAAATAACCTGGAACTTGTATTTATAGAACCAAAATCATGTGGAGTATTTTGATTTGGAGATTCTTCAGCATACTGGAATCACGCTCTTTGTGAATTGTTCCCACCTCTTCCATGTACGTTAAACTGAAAAGCATTGTGTTTGGTATCTTAATGGAACTTTGCTTCTCTGGGTATAAAAAAAAGCAGTTTTAAAAAGTGTCGGTGGTCACAATCATGTTTAGACCTGCAGTCCAGTCGGTGCTGAGGCCTCGCCGTGCAACCGACTATATGCTGATATATGAATAAAGAAAGAAAGAGAGGAGTGTGTTCTGTGTCTTTTCTGAGTGGCTTCAACATAAATACATTGTGTTTCTGTGCTAATTTGTGGATGAATGAACGTTCCTGAGCATGTTTCTGCATCAGGTCATATTTCATGTTCTTAAAACAGCCATTTTTAACAGATATATGTTCAATTAATCAGATTTTTTTGTATGAATGTTATTGAAAACACTTTAAATCCTTTATAAATACGACCTTTAAGAGGGGTTACTGTAACAGGACGCCTCATTGTTTTTATTTTCTCTCAGCAGTAAAATAAACACATTTTAAATACTTAAATGAAACTAAATAACGGTTGTTAATAAAGAGGTTAACAGGCTCATGTTTTCTCTCAGTAAAACTCACTTTGAGACTAAATATGCATTCAGGAAAAGTTAAGCCTCACGCATTTGAAATACTTTATAAAAGAGAAAAATATTTTCTTTTTGTGACCCAGATAAACTCTCCGGTGACCCAAACAGTCTCTGGGAATGAAAGAGAGAAATAATAAAACAATTTATGATAAAACAAACGCCATTGAATATTTCGATTCAATACTTTATTACATTATTGTAGCACATTAATATAGAGTAATGTAGAGTTCAAATATCTTTCTTTCTGGGCTTTTCCAAGCAAATATGTGATTGTTTGCAATTAAATCAGCATATATTCCTCCCTCATGCCACTCCATGAATATTTCTGTGGATGCACCTGGAAGCAGGTGATCTGTAACTAGTCAATAATTAAAGAGAAACTGTTTCTATGCACGAGTGTTAATTTGCTTTTTACTATAAACTGCTGTACGACGAAACGTTTGACACCAGATATCTGTGGAGAACAGGTACGATTGATGTTTTTAATATATTTAGTTACTTTGCAGATTTAGATTATTAATAGAAATGTGAATCAGCTAATATGTTGTATATTATGTATTAAACTACCCAGCAGTAAATAAAGTTAAATTAAAAGTAGCTCTGCATTTACCAGCTGTGACATTAATGTATCAATAATTATGGTGCAGTAATGTGTACGATTGTGAAAAGGGTCATTCTGTGCACATAAAAACACGTTTTATTGTCTTAACATAGACTGTAGGATGCAGGAGATACTTAAAAATTAGGTTTTATTTTTTGCATATTCATATAATTTCAATAGAAATGTGCATTACATGTCCTGCATAGGTCACAGCCTGTTTCAAGACATTGTTTTAATGAACTCAGTGGATCATATTTGGGATATTGGGAGGTTTTTAAATCAATCTTATAATAATATCTGGATAATAAAAGCAGTATAATGTACATAATTTATAAAAATGTTATGTTTTTATATCATTCTATGAGTATTTATACCCTCTTCTGATTTAATACGCTTATGTTTTAGTGTTATTTGATAGTTGAGGCTCTTTATAAGAGCTCACTGTGTGTAATATCATTTTAGGTATTTTATTTTGTAGTCGTTCTATCCCCGCCCCCCCTCTCCCAACACGCCGCTGTGATTGGTCCACAGACCTGCTAAACAATTCCACACGCCAATGAGCGGTCCAGAATCCCAAACGTCATCATTAGATGCCGAAAGTAATGTCACATGTGTCAACCAACCTCTAAAGTCCAAGTGGGTGATCGTCCAGCTGCGGTTCGGTCCAACATCCTGTAATCACACGCGTGGAAATGTATAAACGCGCACAAAACTGAGTGAGTTTAGATGCTGGTGATGGAGGCTGGTGGTCTGAGGGATTAGGTGTCGTGTTTATTATGAACCGGGTCCATCTGCGGCTCCGGTCCCTCACACCGCTGCTCGTTCGGGGCAGAGCTCTCTCCGCTGCGCCTCCGCCTGTCGCCCGCTGTCCCTCTCCCTTCCACCGGACTCTCATCCAGCTTTTCCGAGCAATGGCGACCCAGAGCAACCCGGAGAGCATGCAGCCGCCGGGGGGGAAGAAGGCCAAGCACAAGGAGTCTCTGCGGCGGGTGAAGAGCAAAGAGAAACGGAAACAACGGGTGGAGTATCACGGACCGTCCACGGTGTACCTGCAGGTGGTCGGTTCCGGTAGCAGAGACAATGCTGCGTCACTGTACGTCTTCTCCGAGTTCAACAGGTAACAGCTGTCACACTCACCGGGCTTTTACTTTGAAATTTTATCCCAGCGTTTAGCTTCTAATAGTAGCCCCGGCGTTTATTGGGGACAGGCCTTTAATTCCTTTAAACTACACTCTTAACTGCTGCTCCTCTTGAGATTTACTGACATGATGGTTTTGATGCTTCAGAGGTTTTTTTTTTTCCGTCTCTCTTGTTTACCGTGTTACCGTTAATCCAGAGTGAATTAACGGTATACTTTTGTTGTCGATAGTTTTCGTAAAATATAGTGAACGATCGAATTGTGGAGAATCTATAACTGATCTAACGATGTTCATTATGTACACACTGACAGAAGTTTAAACATTTATATTTGTGTAGGAGATTAAAACGACTTAAAACCCGCTCAAGAGATAATTTCTATAAAATCCAGACCAGGCCTCTATTGGAGACACACCGGGCTTTTAAAAGAGTCCATTAGGGAGTAAACGAAGCTACTGTCCTTTTTAAGATGGTATTGTGTCGGGTTTTAACTCCTCTTCTCGCTGCAGTGACGTACAAGTGTACTCCAGGGTGTGTCGGTACACTGTGACGTAACCAGTGGGCGTGGTTCCAGCTGTTTTTTTACCGTTTACCTTTTCACAAACTCTCGTCCTCTCTGCTGCAGATATCTGTTCAACTGTGGCGAGGGAACTCAGAGACTCATGCACGAGCACAAGTAAGCTGGTTTAAGTTGTTGTAACCGGAGTCCGTCTGATGGACAAAGACGGAGAATTAATAGTTGTGTGTTTTTCTCCGACAGACTGAAAGCTTCCCATTTGGACAACATCTTCCTGACCAGGCTGAGCTGGATGAACGTGGGAGGTTTATCAGGTCGGTAACAGTCAAAATAGTCCGCAGCATTTTACTTAAAGAGCCTTTGATCAGTATTTTAATAATAAAGACATATAGACTGACAATCTGAATGGGGGTCGTTCGTAGTGATGAAGCTACAGAGATCAGTTAGTTATAGGTGATAAGACATTAATCTGCTGCTTCTAGATGTTGTAGATGTTTAACTCATTCATATACGCGTGGCACTGGTATGGGAACTACACAATCGTGGCTGTAAGTAGGTAGAACAGGTACATAGGTACAGTTACAATGCTATAAATCCTAAAAAGTGCATTTAGTTTTGCTGATTTCTTTTACGAAAATTAAAAAAACAATGTTGTGAAGTGTTACCGACACTGGGGGAAGAAACAGAGGCTGTGTGTTTCATGTATTTACATATTGTTGTCAGGTGGTGACTTTTCAGTGTTGGAAAAGTTGGAAAGTCGAAGAAAACAATCTGTTTTTTGCAGGTTTAAATTGAAAAGTTTGACGTTTTTATAGAAAACAAATGTACATTTCCATTGTAAAATCACTACAACAGGAACTATAATCTTAATAAAAGTATATTTGAGGCTTCAGAATGAAATCTGTTCAGACCACATATATCACAAATAAAACATTAACAGATTTATATTATAAGAAAAACAAACAAAAGCAGTTAATAATAGACTTTGATTCCTATTAATAACTGTACTGCCACATTTATTGAGCCTATAATCGAATGCTGTGATATATTCTCTCTTTTAGCCGTACGGATGTTTGTTTGTGGATGTTTTCGTCAATCAGATGGATGTCAGAGATTAAAGATATTGTATTGTCTCCTCAGGAATGATATTAACCTTGAAGGACATCGGTGTGCCAGAGTGTGTTCTCTCTGGACCTCCACAGCTGGTGAGAAACTCCATCATGCAGCATGAAAAACCTTTTTTTAATTTAACCTTTACTCACTTAACATAAACTGTCTGCTCTTCTCCATCAAAGGAGAAATATCTGAACGCCATCAAGACATTTTCTGGACCTCTGGATAACATAAAGCTGTGTATGTTGAATTCACTGAGCTGGATTTTATAACCGCAGTATTGTTTGCGTAATATCAGTCTTATTTTGATATTTACTGTTATCATACGCTCGTAGCGGTGCGGCCGTACACCGAAGAGCCGTACTCGGACGAGACGATGACGGTTTATCAAGTGCCGATATTTGGTGAGTTCAGATATTTGTGCTTGTTTTTTTTTAGAGTCTTTTCCTGCTTTTTGATATTCACCGACTCTCTTCTGCGGTCGCTCTTCAGCCCAGTCGAGGGGCGACGTCAGAAATGTCTCCCCCAAGTCGAACAGGAGCCGAAGTCAAAGTCCTCCCTCTCCCAGGGAAGACGACCTCCACTCTAAGAGCCACGGAGACAGACCCGGAAGTCCAGGTGAGTCCTGTAGCGCCGGGGACGAACAGGAGGACATTTCTCAGAAGTCACGTCACGATCAGAAGCCATGTTTCCATCAGCTCGTAGAGCCTGTTTCCACCTGGTGTTAGCGTCTTCTCTGATCCAATCACAAGTGGAGCGTTCTAAAGTGTGAACGGATTGTGATCCGATCACCCAAACCACTTCCCGAGGTGGTCTGGGATACATTTGACCACATATCTTTTACAGTGTAAACTCTAATGCGTCCTGGCCCACGTCGAAAGACCACCTTCTCAACTGTGAACTCCTGTGGTTACACACAGAAACACGCTGATTGTGTAGTTCGCTTTAAAGCAAATGAGCTCTTTTACCTGCAGAGACAAGCAGCAGGTGTTTGTGAACGACTGTTTCAACTAGTAACTGCAATATCACCAGACTCCATTCAGAAATCCCACAATTTTGGGAGTTACTATTAATTTTATAAACTTAAAACTTCATCTACAACAGATTGTTCATTGTTTGGTCCTTCTTGTAAATGTGGGAACCCTTACACATTACTGTGAGTGACTGTGACAGCCTGTCAGCCGCATGGCGACAGCAGAGACAGACAGACAGACAGACAGACAGACAGACAGACAGAGAGACAGAACTCATGTGACTGATGAGCTGCAGTGAGGATGTTTAACATGTTCACCGTCTTAGTTTAGTAATTATATTTGTTAATTAGAACTAAACTGGGTAAAGCTGAGTCACTAACGTCATTAGTTCTGCAGGTGTTTGATGAATGAGCCAAAGCTGTGGACATATTTCAGATTTGAACCTGATGGTGGCGCTAGAGGAAAAGGCAAAAACAGTCAGACTGCGGTATAAAGAAGAAGGCCAGCATGCAGTCTGAAATCAATAAGTGAGATGTTATTTAATAAGAAATTCTCCTGTTCTAATATCTTGTAGGTAAAAGAGGAAATGCAGCTAGAACTATCTCCCCGCTGGTTTCCTTCATATGTAAGGTAGGAGACTTTACGTTCTCTTCCTGTTTGTGACGAACTTGTTAACGAACTCCGTAATCTGACATTCTTCTTCTTTTCTGCTTTAAACTTTAACAGATTCACCCAAAGAGAGGAAATTTCTTAGTCCCTCAAGCCATCGAGCTGGGTTTGCCTGTGTGAGTGGATCTTTAATACAAATCAGAAATAAAACTTATTGATCTCTTACTGAGGATAAGATAAATCTGTTATGGTGCTTTTAATGAATTTACTTTATTTCATTGATTGAATTTTAGCACAATAGACCTTTATCACAGCAGCCATTTGGACATTAAATACAAAAGTGAACATAAATGTTTATGACGCTAATTGAGGTTCAAATTTAGTTTTGTGATGATTATTATAATTATTATTGAGTTTAAGGTTGAGTTTCTATGGAAATTAGTTTTATTATTATTTTTTCCTCCCTAATTTTATGTGATAAAAAAGCTAAAATATAAAGGCACTGATTATTTTTTTATATTACACCTCTTTTTATTATGATTTTTTAATTATATTTATTCTGTATGAACCAGTAATGTAACTGCAACTAACATGTTTGTTTTTTGTTGCTGTTTTTCTTATTTATATCATAATATAGATTATATTCAGTTCACAACCGTTCAAAACCAAAAAAATATTGAATTTACAGTGATATAAAATGGCTAAATCTTACATTAGAGAAGCTGGAACCAGCTTGTTTTATCATTTTTAAATGTCTTTACAATAAAAATGCTGCAGAATTATTAAATGTTTTTTGTCCACAGAGGTACGGCAGCCATCGGTCCACTCATATCAGCTTTGAAGGATGGGAAAACGATCACGTATAATGGGAAAGAGGTATAAAGACGCTCTTTACTGATAACCTTTGTTGTGAAGCCCCAACTGTATTTACTCACACTGTCTCCATTGTGTGTAGATCCGACCCGAGCAGGTTTGTACCCCCTCTGAACCCGGAGCAGTCTTTATCGTCGTCGAGTGTCCGTCTGAGGAGTTCATCGAAGCCGTTTGCACCAATCAGCAGCTAAAAAGGTAGCGGTTTGATCACCTGTGACGCTTCTTTATCTGAACAATTGTAAGAAAACGTATTTTAAACTTAGTCTGTCGTCCCCTCTAGCTACCAAACAGGAGAAACAGAGGGCAAAGTTGTGTTGGTGGCCCACATGACTCCGAATTCTGTTTTGAAAACGGATCAATACAAGAAGTGGATGGAGAGGTTTGAGACCAGACTCCATAGAGAATTCTGCTTATTTTAATATTCAGTTTTTAACACACTGAGGACGAGCGCTGTTCTCTGCGTTTCTGTAGGTTTCCATCCACAACAGAACACCTGATCCTCAACGAACACGTCTGTTCGGTCCACAATGTCAGAAGTCACAAGATTCAAATACAGCTCAACATGATCCACCCAGAGATCTTTCCACAACTCCAGCCGTACGAAGTCAAGGTAACACTGAGGGTGACATGTGATGGGAACACCTTATTTTATTTCTGGTGCTAGGAGGTGTCTTACATTAAAACAATAACAAAAGATATGTTTGATGACGTAGTGAAGTACCGTTGGATCATGGGAGTTGTTGTCTTCACCACCCCTATCGTCATTTCAGTCAGCTTCTCCCGGTTAGGATTCCTTCAATGTTTTTCAGGAGGTTTCTAATGAGTTATCCGCAGAGGTCTCTTCCTCTCTAAAACAAACAGATCCGCTGATTAAAACCAGTAAAGACACTGAATAAAACAACCGGACGAGCCCCCATTTGTCACAACGCGCCTCTTTGGCCACAACAAACAAGAAAACACACTGATAAAGTTTAAAACTAAATATATTTTACTTAAGATCCAGACTAAAATCCTTCATCCAGTTCAAATGTAGAGTTAAAAACCACCAAGATTTAAAAAGATTATGATAAAAATGTGGCTTCAAACAAGATTGAAAAACAAACAGTCCCAGAAGAGCTTTTATTTTTTACACACTACTGAGATGTAGTGAGCAGAGATGGATGATTTAATATTCCAGAGCTCAGTTTTAACCAAAAATAACTGTTATTAATTAATTATCGGTTGATAATTTATCCGTCCCCATAATTATCATGCATCCTCAGACAAAACAAGATATTTATAAACGTCACTGTAGAACAATTATCTGTCATTTTAACATGAAATGAATGAGAAAAATAATCAGTGGATGAGTGGATAATGATAATAATCCATTCATCAGTCATCATATATCTTATAATACTTTCTCACATGTTGGAGTTTACTATAGTTTTTTACCACAGCACTGGCTGCAGAGGCTCTCAGTAACTATATTTCTATTTGTTTTAAAAGCAGAGTTAACAAAGTGATAACTCAAGTAAGGTACAAAAAAAGAGTTATAAGAAAACATCAAAACCACGTTATTTGTGTGTGTGTTGTTCCCCAGGAGCCTCAGGCCGCCCTGCACGTCCCCAGCGTCAGAGCCGAGTGTCTCCTCAAGTTCCAGCTCAGACCCGTAATGGAGTGGCAAAGGTTAGTTTGTCCTTCAATCCCCCCCAATTTAGCCGACATTACTCTGCAGCTCGGAGCGCTGCCTTGTCACGGAAAACAATCTGGAATGGACCGTTGCACTCAGCCGCCGCCTTCTTCTTTCTTCTTTTTTAACTTCGTCTTACAAGTGTCAGTGTTTTCCCTTCACTGTTTCTGTCAAGTACTGTAGAGGCGCATCAAGGTCAGATGTGGAAAGAATGCCCCGCCAGTGTTTTGCGCAGGCAGTGGTGTGTGTCTTCTTGACTCTGTGTTTCATTCGTTAGAGATGCCATCCCCTTCTGCAACACTGAGGAGTTTGTGAAAGAGGCTTCTGAGGTCCCAAACTTTCTGGAAGAAGTGGACGAGTGCAAGAAGATGTGCTCCACTGAAGCTGCGGAGACTTCTGGTGAGAAAGCCCAGAACAGAAAGAAAATGTTTCTTTCTTTTGAAGAAGAAGGTGTTTAATGTGATATATTCTTTGCATTATCTCATATAAATATTAATTTATATTATTTTATTTCCACTGCAGGGGAAGGAGAAAAATACCCAGAGGTGGTTTTCATAGGAACGGGATCGGCTCTTCCAATGAAGATCAGAAACGTCAGCGGCACTTTAGTTAATATCAGGTATGGATTAGTGGTCTAATGATGGGGGTTTTCATTGCTGCTGATATTTAAAGAGCCCCATGAGATATATCAGGCAGCAAGTGAACATTTTGTCCTCAAAGTTGATATGTTGGAAGCAGGAAAAGCGGAGTGCTAAAGGCTAAAACACAACGGCGCTGCGGGAGCTGGTCAGCAGGTCTGCACTGAATACTGTTCCTACCTGATGCTGGTGCACGTTTACAACAGCAGGTGGCATAGTCCTCTCATTTAGCTGGATGTGTCCTGAATCTTTCCAACTGTGTTTCAGCTGTTTATTTCTTTCACACTCAGGCTGCACAGTTAATCACAATATTATCGAAAATGGCAATTTAGCCAAGTGCAATATGCAAATCTCAGAAACTGCAGTTATTTCTCACACTAATCACAATCACAGTATCTGTCCAAACAATCGCTATATGAGCTTTTTACTGCATCGTGCAGGACTATTTTATACTATTATTCATTTTACTATGAAGCTGAAAATCATGTGGACACATTTTTTTATTTACACTCACCTGAAGAGCCGATCTCCAGAGCTGTGACGTGCAAGGTAATGTCTTTTATGCAGTTATAGTTTATAATTTCAGGCACCGCGATGCTGGAGATAGAACAGTGGCTGAAGATGGACTCGGTGGATCCTGTAGAGTTAAAAGAGGTTAAAACATCTGTGCATTTCGGTGGCGATTTGTAAAAGCTGATAATCATGTGATAAGTTGAATTACTCCCCAAAAATCCCCTTTTGTGATCATGTGGCTGAAGCAAGAAAGAAAAGTCATTCGGTGTACGTCCACTAAGCATCGAGTCCGTTCTCTGTTGTAGTCCGAGTCAGTCGATCCTGTTGGACTGTGGAGAGGGAACCTTCGGTCAGCTCTGCAGACACTACGGGGACGATGTGGACGAAGTTCTGTCCAAGATCTCGACTGTCTTCATCTCACACATGCACGCTGACCACCACACAGTAAGCAGCAGTTAAACGTGATCACAGCGTTGTGGTTTGTCTCAGTGTAAAGTGAGCTGCTTCCAATCAAACCACTATCCTCATCTTCATCTTGTCTTAGGGGCTCCTCATGTTGCTGTATCAGAGGGAACGAGCGCTGGTACGTTTGTCGTTTAGTGTTTGAAAATAAACAGTAAATAATCAGTTATTGAATAAATAAAAAACTTAAATGTTTGTCTATTAGACTGCGTTGGGAAAGGCGTTCAGCCCCGTCTTCCTGATGGCTCCGAATCAGATCATGATCTGGCTCAGCCAGTATCACCATCACTGTGAGGAGATCCTCCACCATATCAAGTACGTGGGCACACCTTAACATTCCAACATAAACCTCACCTGATTATATTTAATATATATATTAATCACAGTCTTTTAATGTCCGTTCTCTGTTCCAGCTTCATCTCAAACCACTCTCTGTGTGAAGGCAAAGACAACACAACACAGAACAAGGGAGACAACACAGAGATGTTGAAATCGCTTCTGAGGAACAACGATCTGGAAAAGGTCTGCAGCTGAGTTATTGTAGTTTTCTATTTTCCCCATTTCGTTTTTTAATTTTAGTTTTCAGTTCAGTTTAGTTTGTAGTCTTATTGTTCTTATTGTTTAAAAATGTTAAGTTCTAGTTCAGATTGTATTAGTTTCAGTGTTAGCTTTAGTTTATTTTTATTATAATATGTGGGGTATTTGTCAGAATAGGTATTATAGTACAAATATGATGTAGACATCCAAGTTTCATCTCCAGTGCCTTTAGATAAAATGAAAATAAACTGAAATGACTTGAAGGAAAATACAGGAAAAGTCTAGTTTTTATTTCAGTGAACTAAAATGCTTTTTCACACCTAGTCCAGGTTTAGTTTTAGTTCACTGAAATAAAAACTAGTTTTGGTGAACTATAATAACTATTTGGACATTGTTCTGCTCGGTTTTAACTGTGTACTCTAATGCAGGACGATGTTGTTTATCAGAGAGTGAAGGCTCTGGGAATATAGTTTGTGTTCAGGTCTTCAAAGTTTAGATCTTATATAATAATCTAAATTTAGCTATTTACCAAGAAGGCCTTATGACCCCCCCCATGAAGCTTTGACGACCCCCAGGTTGGGAACCACTGAGAAAGACCTGAACACAGCCTATATTCCCAGAGCCTTCTCTCATCCTGCGTTAGAAAAGTAGTTAAAACGAGCTGATAGAATGGCCAAGCTTCAGGGAGGAGAAGCCTTTTAAGAATGTATGATTGTTAAAAATATATAAAAACACAGACAGAGAATTGTGTAAAAAGTTGGTAAAATATCAGGAAAACTCAGAACACCAGGAACAATATTCACAGGAAATAATTCATACTAATGGCTCGTTTTACACAAACTCCATAAAACATGTCAGTCAGTCAGGAGTCGTCAGTTTAGGCAGTGATATAAAGGTTACTCATCTCTGTGTGTGTGTGTGTGTGTGTGTGTGTGTGTGTGTGTGTGTGTGTGTGTGTGTGTGTGTGTGTGTGTGTGTGTGTGTGTGTGTGTGTGTGTGTGTGTGTGTGTGTGTGTGTGTGTGTGTGTGTGTGTGTGTGTGTGTGTGTGTGTGTGTGTGTGTCAGTTTCAGACGTGCCTAGTGCATCACTGTAGGAACGCCTTCGCCTGCAGCTTCACTCACCAATCAGGCTGGAAACTGGCCTTTTCTGGCGACACCATGCCCTGCGACGCCTTCGTGTACATCGGTTAGTGCCACTCAGAATGATTAAAGTCCACATTTCATTCACCGTGCATCCACACAGACACCGTAGGAAATCGCACATCGAGCGCTTTCAATATCACAGAGATTCATGCGAGGTTGTCCGCGTGTAGCTCGGCTACACGAGGTTGTCCTGAATAATTTATCCGATATTTCTTAATGCTCTCGATCACTCTCGCAACTGGCAGGCTCTTCTAATGGTTCCTGTGGGATCCCACTTCATTGACTCTTCTTAAATTGCTTGACTGGATTCTGTCCAAGCAAAGCCTCCCCGAGAACGGAGAGAGTGTATCCCATGACTGTTCATTATAGATGGCTCGGCTCAGCAGACAAAACAGGGCGTGCCGATTCTTGATTACACCGACTACCTGATTGATTTCCTGGGGGACGGGGAGGGGATGTAAGTGCTCGGCTGTGATTAGGGCCTCTGATTTGGCTCTCTTTTTTTTTTTTTTCTGCAGGAAAGAATGCAACCTTACTAATCCACGAGGCCACGCTGGAAGACGGGCTGGAGGAGGAAGCTGAAGAGAAAAGACACAGGTGAGCTCTTTCTAGAGACAAGGCCACATGTTCTTAGATATAATCAAATGTTTTATAGCAGGAAGCTTGTGTCAAACAGGTGACTTAGCTGGATTTTATGCAGTTTATTTCCTGTTAACAATCATACAAACGTCTCTTTTTTTTATCAAATTCTGTGTTTTCCTTTTTAACTGCATATTTTTCTAACGTAGGACGAGGTTGTTTATCAGGCAGTGAACACTCTGTGAATGTATTTTGTGTTCAGATCTTCAAAGTTTAGATCTTAAATAATAATCTCAACTTCAAAAAATAACAATTTTATTTAGTTTTCCTCAGAAATTAATGAAATGCTAAGATATTGGCAATACAGTCTTTTTTTATAAACCAAGAAGGCCTCGCAGCCCCCTGTGAAGCTTTGGCGACCCCTAGCGGAGGTCGCGAGCCCAAGGTTGGTTTAAATAATTATTTAAGATCTAAACATTGAAGATCTGAACACAGAGCTATATTGAAAGCCCCATCCTGTATTAGTACACAGTTAAAACGACCAAAGAACAAATAGAACAATGAGAAGAAAACTAAAAATAAGCCTGTTAAGTATTTCTGGTTGTTAATAAACTGAATTCAAAAGGTCCCTCAACTCATAACTCTAATAAGGAAATAAGTTTCCTGCAGTTACTGTGTTCACTATTTGGGTTAAATTGCTCAGTTTATGAGCGATTAAATAGAATAAGAAATACCCTACATATATATCCAATATAGAAAATGGGTCCCTTCAGGAAAAAGGTTGTTCTGAGTCATATCTGCTGGAACAAAGCATTTTACACTCTTCATCTCGGAGCGATAAACCTCCGTCCTGAAGGAGGAAGCTGAAGTTCTTTGTGCGAAGGAGTCGTCATTTAAACCGGCTGCTGTACAGGGATTCTGGGTTAAGCTCAGACTCATCAATCAGCCTACTAGAGCATTTGAACAATTTGACTCTGGAGTGTTTCTGTTCCCAAGAGATAGGTTTCCAAAAACCACGACGCACCAGAAGAGAGAGATAAAATCGATTCAGTAAAACAGAGTAAGGTGAGTGGAAATGGGACAGTTTCCTCTCAGGCTGGAGCTCCTTTCTGCACATTCAAAACTTCAGTTCTGAGTCAGTAACTGTTAGACAATATCTGTGAGACACACTCTGACCCTTGAGTGGGGACATAAAATCGATTATCCTGTCTTTCAGTTTTAGTTCATGCAAATGACATAAAAAACTGCAGCAGTTAAAGTTCTCTCAGCCAACAAAAGAATTGCATTTAACTGGCTTTCCTCTACTCTCCGCAGATATTAACATTGATTTCTGCAGCGCTTTATGGCGTCGGAGCGAGCGTCTGTCTTCACAAAAGCATCTTTTTATGTCCACAGAAAACAATATTCCCATTGAGAGTTTCCCTCTGGAAGCAGTGCAACGTAAATCTCCGACTTTGTGCTTCATGTTTTCTGACAGCACGACCTCCCAGGCCATCGATATCGGCATGAGGATGAACGCCGAGTTCATCATGCTGAACCACTTCAGCCAGCGCTACGCCAAGATCCCTTTATTCAGCAACGACTTCACTGACAGAGTGGGGATCTCGTTCGACCACATGAGAGTGAGTATCGCCGCGGACGTAATGCGTTCATCTCTGCTGGATGTTTCCACAGCTCACTTCTGAATAGAGTCACAATTACACCTGAATGCATCGTTGGAGTGCAGTTTTCAGCTGTTCTACACTCGTTCTCGGTCTGTATCGATGGTTTTTAATAGAGAACGTATTAAACTTTATTTCTAAAGCTCCTTTCATAGAGTTTAGAGCAGTGCAGAGTGCTTTACAGACGACAGACGAGCATAATAATAAAATTAAATAAGGTAGATTTAAAAGTAGAATACAATGATAAAAGTGACAGTAAACAATACAATCAATGTAATGATAGTATACCTGTAAAATCAATAGGATATTAGTGTGCAGTATTTTTGGTTTATTGGATATAAATATGGAACATCGGTGCTAAATTGTTTTTTCTTGTTTCAGTTCCGTTGTTCAAATGTGGAGGTTGTTTCAAATCCGATGTCATTTGAGCATCTAAAGGCTTTAAATTATATAAATAACCCACCACCAAAAGCCATAAAACAGATTAATACATTAATAATAACAATAATTCTAATAGTAAATGTATTTAGCTTTTATAATAAAAATAGATAAAGTAATAAAACAGAGGTAGAGGTAGGTAGGAAAGCATTATAACATCCAAAACAATAAAAAACTGAATAAAATTAATTAAGATGAGAGACAAATAGTCTTCACATTGTCTTTATTTTTAATTTAAGTTAATTTTATGAGACAGGTCAGTAGAGAGAGACAGGACAGATGGGGGGAGAGAGAGAGGGCGACATGCAGCAGAGGGCCTCACGAACTCGCTGTGGTAGAACTCAGCCTTGTATTTAATTAAAGGAAACTTAATTGCATCCAGTTATTTGCTGCCTCTGAGCAGTGAAAACGTGCGTTTAAAAAAGGTTCCCGGTCGCTCAGCAAAGGAACAAAGTAAAATGTCGTCTGTGTCATTTTTTTCTTCTTCTAAACTCAAAAATAAAAACAGACAAGGTCAGTTTATTCGTGTGGCAACTTTTCAACAACAAGGCCGCTTTTTATCGTTGTATACAACATAAAAATGAATTAAACCAAAATGGAACACAAGGAGATATAAAAGTATATTTGAGCATCGATTTTTGTCCAGACGAGGCTTCGCTGAGAAGTAGACAGGTCAACAGTAACAGACTGTTTAATAAAATACTGGCTGCTTTCTGTGCTGCTGTTCATATGAAACCTGAAAGTGGAGCCTCAGACCTCCTGAGTCCTTCTTCCTGAAGCATAAAGACAGATTCTTCCTGTTTGGATGCTGAGGCTGAGATGAAGTGTGCTGGAAGATCAGACTCAGTATTTATGAGCCTCACTCCTTCAGGAGTCACATGACCATTTTCTCCATTTTCCTGTGCACTCAGATTCGCTTCGGGGACTTTAAAATCCTGCCCAGGCTCATTCCTGCGCTTCAAACCCTCTTCGCCACGGCGATCGGCGAGATGGAGGAGAAGAGGGAGAAGAGAGAGCGGGAGCAAAAGTACCTAAGAGGGGACTTCTCCGTGGTGGATGGCGAGCCGAGGACGACCGACGCCGGCCGAGCTGCCAAGAGAGACCAGGAGGAGGCGGCGACGCACCACGTGGAGACGAAGAGACTGAAAACCATCTGAAGCCGGAGAGATGACTGATTTCAGCTCAGAGAAAAGAACTTTAACTGAGAGCGTCCTGAGTTGTTTTTATTTAAGTGAATTTAAGACTTTTATTTGGCTTGTGTGGTTTCATGGAAGAAAAAACGCATGTATATTTCTTTACATTTGAGTATACAAAGCTAATGAATATAGGTTGTTTTTCATTAAACAGAGGAAATCAAATACTAAACTGTAGTTCCAAATGTGTCTGTGTGTGTTTTTGTGAATCAATAGTTCCTAATAAAGTTAACTGACAGTTTTTTATCTAATCAGATTTTATTTAATGGTAGTGATTCTTGTATAAATTACTAGTTTTTTCTTGAGTTTAAACAGAACAGAGAAATAACTGATTATGATTAAAGAAAAGTGAATCAATAAACCTATAAAAGTATGTTAATTAAGCTCATAGACTTAAGTAAACTATTGTTTCCAGTCCACCATATGTATGTGAGTTATCAGGAGCCCTGTTATGGGGTTATGAGAGGGAGTCTGCAGGTAAATAATCTAGAAAAGAGACCAAACCTCCAAGAATAGCTCTTCTTCTCCCTTTAAGACAGCCTGTAATCTTTCATGAGGGAGTGTTAAAATCAATCTGTACTAAAGGGTAACATTTGACGATGAGTCTTTGATCCAATTATTAAAAGAAAGACTTTCAAGCAATTAAAAAATAAGTTTCTGCAATATAGATATTTTTTAGACCTGCTAGCAGCGTAGCTCTGGACTTTAACCCCGACTATAACTCTTATTAATGCTGAGTGTGATAATCACTGCTGACTGGAAGTCTTTTTCTTGTCTGTACGATTGCACCTGAATGCATCCTTTGAGCACAGTTTCAACAAAGTTTCCAGTCGTTCTACGTCTATATTAATGGTTTCTAAACGGAGAGTGTGTAGCACTGGTATCAAAAAATATCAAATCTGGTAAGAAAAAGGAGGATTTTTATTCTTGTTTAACTTTATTCTTTAAACAAATTATTCGAATTTTAGGCAATAATTAATGTAAATATCCAAACACAAGTTCTCAGCCTGTATATTCTTCAGATTACGATATTAAAGGTGATATTTTTAAAGCCATGCCAGCAGCATAAAGGTCTCCTTATCTTTACTTTTCTTAAATTAAAGCTCAGCATTTAATTTAATCGAGTGTTGTTCATCCACTGAGAACAACGCAGACCCCTAACATCAGGGCATTATGTTCTGTTAGAGTTTATAAGTGACTAATGAGGCCTACATTTTGCTCGACAAGTTTTTCCTGCAGTGAAAAACCGCGTGAGACCAGGACTCATAGATCGTCAGCAGTTCTCGCTTTACTGACTCATTACTCTGCTGGTTGAGAGTCTTCGTCACGTTGTTCAATCAGAAGCATCAGGAGCTTCTCTCCTGTATCAACAGCTATCCACACATAAATCATTTACACTGCTCCAGACTGAAACATCCCCATCAGATCTGACCCTCCTCAAGATGAACTCTGGGTAAAAGTATAGCGTCGTTAGTTATGCCTTAATTATGCATAACTTTAAGCCTTAATATAATGTAAACAGGTGAGTTATAGAAACATTCAGCCTCTGTACAGTTGTCATAAACGGGAAATTTCACTACAGACCAAAACAGTTTTTGAACTAGGTTGTAAACCTGTTTATTTCTGCTGTAATCTTTTAATGTGGGGCCTTATGGAGACTGACTCACTGCTGGAGCCAGCCTCTAGTGGCCGTTGGAGGAACTGCAGTGTTTTGGCTGTTGTGCCTTTAAATTCAACTTTAGTCCTTTTGGCACAGGGTAAAAACATTATAAATAAACATTATAGCGAAACCATCAGCATGTTTCTGTAGGTTTGGTTACATCCAGTACTACGACCACCTGACCGAAGATAAACTGTTTATCCATTACTTATCACCTATTCTGACCTCTTGCTAGCTAGTTGTCACACACGTTCAGGTATTATTTCTGACTCAAGTTGACTCTGTTGTTTTTATGTTGCTCTTAAACACACATTTTATATTTTCTTAAATGAACCACCGCAGTCTTTCAGCGTCAGATCCAGTCCAGAAATATCTGTTCATTGATGTAATGGAAATCTCTGAGCTGCAGTGGAGACCGAAGACCACGGTAAGTGACACCATTGATGTTGAACACTTCCCCCTTCAGTCCACATGGGGGCTTCAGTGAGCCACCAGTGCTCACAGCAACCAGTTAGTGGGGCCCCTGAAGGAAAAAGAAGCATCAGGACGGAAGGTAGTAACGCTCATAAGAGAGGGACTTATTATCTGCTGCCACTTGAGGGAGCGGTGGCTGCAGGAATCTCCCGCATTCACAGGGGGGAGGACGGTGGACGGAGGCTGATACAGGGGTCAGCTGTGTGTAATTGTTAAAAGCATTAGGAGATGATTGTTAGAGCACCTTAAATGTGGTTTATCTCGTTATTGTAGCCTGTTGATTTTGACATATGATACGTATGCCGTCCACATACTGCACGCCGTCTGCAGGCAGGAATGAACTTTGATTTCAGAGGCTGACCTTTCAATTATAGAGAAGAAGAACTCGCCCTCAGAGGAAACATTTACCACCGTCTTGTTCTCCAGCGCTCGTCTTGCATTACGATTTTTAACTGTTTATGTTAAAATGGTAAAATGTACTATGATTTATGGCTCTACTTTAAATTAAAGGCCAAAGGTTAAACTGATTTCTACACCGAGAGCCCCCCCCCCGTCTCTCTTCAGATAAGACAGGTGCCAGAACTCTGAAGTAAATGTGAGTTTTCAGAGATTAGTGGTTTGAGCGGTGAGCCGACGATTAGCCTATTTTCTGGAGTGTGAAGCAGTGAGATGAAGATGCATTGCTCCTGAGCCCGGAGTCCATTTAGGGGGCCTTTGCTGCCACGGACGCCGCCTCTGCCAGAGGAGGCATGAATGATAAGCAAGGAGGGGGCAGAAATAGGTTTTGACACAAGCATTGCAGAGTCAAAGTGATGGATTGATAGAGCTAATCATCACTTAACCAGCAGTGGAGTGCAGCAGATGACTATTGAAGGTTCAAGATTCAAATGTATTCATCCTGCTACGTTCAGGAAAACCACCTGAGGCTTCGCTGGCCTCCTCTGAACCCTTGAGGAATATTCATTGAAGATTTCTGGGGTCACACATGCTTAAAGCTTAAAGGATCATTCGGATTCATTGTGTTTGTAGTTTGGGCCAATATTTCTAGAATATTATACTCTGAGAATATGGAACAGTTTGCGTCAGTTATGACAACTTCTAATTAAATTATGTTCAACAAATGTGCCACATTGAGTTAGGTGAATTAGCTTTTCCTCTACAATCAAAAAGGTGTTTATGCCACCAAGTTATTAAGTAAGTGGTAATTAATAACACAAGTTTTGATTAGGCTACTCATAACATTGCTCCAACTAGTTTCTCCATGTTATTTATGGCAACGCAACTCATCAAAATAATGTTTGCAACTTAAAAATGTTTACATAGATCAATAAATCAGGAGTTTTATCTTTTATTTTATCAACCATGTCTTTATTTAAGTGGTGACAGTCTTTTCGGACCATGTCGAACTTGGTTTTACATCAGGCAGATTTTGAACATCAATAAATAAACAAAAACATAAACATCAGTTTATTCAAATGATCTAAAACTTAAATTTTATATCTAAATTGAACCAAGTGGGTCTGTAAACTGTTTACAGCGGATAGTTTGGGCCATAATTTAACGCTTTGCCTCCGTTTTTTAAGTTAAAACCAAGTTCAACATGTATTGTATGAAGACATATATATAAATAATTTGGATTTGAATGGGTTTTATTGTAAAAGAAAGTATTATTTCCTCATTAAAATCCTTAAAAAGTCATTCTACTCCTTCCTCATTACAAATCGCAGACACCATGAATATGCAAATGTTGTTCATTTCTAAAGTTTTCCTGCTGGACACAAGATGTCTCCTACTTCACTGTAAAGACCATTCTGGATACTGGACCAGTCTAGTGTCTGCACATCATTCAAACATCACACTGTAGGAACAACAAGAAACACTGAAAGTTTGTCTAACTGAGGCGATTATTTAAATCCCATCTGATCGATATTTTGTCGTTCATCCACTGAGAACAATGGAGACCCCTATCACAAGTGCATTTTGTGTAGTTAGTGGTGAGTTTATAGGTGACTAATGAGGCCTGCGCTGGCTCAAGAAGTCCTCCTGCAGTGATAAACGTGACAGACCAGGACTCACAGACTGTCAGCAGTTCTTGCTTTACTGGCTCATTGCTCCGCTGTTTAAGAGTCTGAAGCTTGGGTGTATCACTTCCCATATAATGACTCAAGCTGTCTTCAAACTGCAGCTTTGGACCAATGACACTAAAATCTTAAATCAGTACTTCTACTTTTACCAGAGCATCTGTACTTCTACTTGAGTAAAGTATGTGTGTACTATTACGCCCTCTTATTATCTTTCCCTGGCAAAACCACCATCTACGCTGCTTTGGATGGTGTATTGTTTCTTCTGTTGCAGATATTTGTGAATATGGGTTAACTCCTCGAGGGATTCTTTTTTAAAATTAAGGTTAATACATTTTTTTAAAAAGAGGAAGAATCTTCGCCGCCAACTCTGGGTTCACCATCCAGTCCTGAGACTGACTACCAGAAATAACCGTGGATGAGAGACATTAAAATATAACCTCATCAAAGTAACTGGCACCTGCGTTATTCATGTTTGTCATTGTTTGTTTGGTGTGGAGTGAAGGGAGACGGATCTGAACAGAGCGGGACGCCACCAATCAGATACACCTCCTCCACCTGAATCCTCCGCTTCAATCCAAAGTCAATTATGCAGCCCGCTCGCCTCTCTTCACATTTTCTGCCTGGCTGCTGATTCACAGAGCAGCCCCCGTTCTGCTCTGGCAGGAATCAAAGTGTGAGGTAATCTGAAGGGAGCTGAAGCACTGGGGGCCCTGGAGCCTCTCAGATTGGAGGTCACACTGCCTGGCCGGGCACAGCACTGTCACACGGACAGGTCGGTAATTGTGGGCAGGCGGTCCATCCCGGGCTGATCTGAGCAGGATTCCTGCATTACTGTCCGTCAGCTGTCACCTCACATCTAGATCTTCACCCCGGCTACGCAGACACCTTTATCCACCCGAGTTAAAGCACCGAAAGGGACCACAAAATTGAGATCAAAGATCCACGACAGACCTTTGATA